GTTCACTGTATCCACGTTGTAATGGGACTGAGACAGTGAGACGATATAATAAGTGAAACGCTAACAAATACTGCACATGGACCGGCCCTTTACCAATTATTTGGTGAAATCGCTCGAGAATGAGTGATTCTCACATGTTTCATCTAATGATTGAGTAAAAACCAGTCTTATATGGTTTTCTGGTTTGTTCTATACCCAATTTTCATTGAAAGTTCCACTAAGTAGATTAACTCACTACCAAATTTGCAGTCACTCAAGAGGATTTCTTACAGTGTAGCTCGTTAACGTATTGAAATATTGAAATATTATACTTATGAGGTCATCAATTTTGGAATATGGTGTCTTGGTATTAGTAAGAGGTTATAACCTATTTTATTTACAACCATATACAGTATGGTGCAAATGAATGGAATAAATTCATTATTTTGTAATAAGGCGACCCTACAGAAAAATCCTGATACCCGTCGATTTTTATTATCGAACGCGCATTCTGTCAAATATTTTTGATACGCATGACGTCATTGGTGTGAGCGTGATGACGTCATCGATGATTTTTTTAAATGGAAATGTGGGTCATGTGATATGTCATTGGAAAGGTGTTTCATTTACCTATCCAATCATATTAATGATTTCAAGTAATTTGGGTTTTTATTCTAACAAACAAGTTTTGCAGAAATTCTAAATATCGAGGACCTGTCAAGGACTCATCGAAGAAATATGGTCCTATTATCATATTCTCTATAATTCCCGCCCAAACATTCAATTTTTCTGGATATTGAGTATGATATTCCTGCATCCAATGTGGATTTCCAGTAGCCCAATACCGACACGTCTGACGATTGACATGACCGTTTAGGAGAAATGTAGCTTCATCAGAAAAAAGAACTTTTCGGAAAAACATCGGATCTGTGTTATTTTTCTCCATCATAAGTTCGCAAAATTCAATTCTTCTATCAAAGTCGCCTTCCAGAAGCTCCTGAACTAAACTAACTTTGTAGGGATGCCACTTCTCCTTTTTTAGCGTTCTAAGAACTGTTGAATGGTCAATGTCATTATCTAATGCTACTTGCCTTGAACTGGTATGGGGATTATCTTGAAAAGCTAGTAAAACATCTAGTTTCTTGTCACCTGGAATTTGTTTCTTACTACCTTTGGGTAGGTCTTTCACATGACCCGTTTCTCTGAATTTCTTTTCAATTTTGCTTACCGTGGATTGTGAAATTGGTTCTCGGTTGGGATATTTATTATTGAACAGAGTACAAACTTCTTTTTGCGTTCGTGTTTTGTCTTCACAACCAATCATTATAAGAATTTCGATTCTTTCTGTGTCAGTGAGCTTCATATTGATAATTTTTGAATATTTCTACTGGTATAACCATTAACATTCGACAAGCCGATTGAGTTTAATTCGAATGTAGCAGTTTCGATGAGACCAACATGTGTGAACCGGCAAAAAATCAAGTAAGAAGCTATCATTCCGTTCCCAGGGACGGCCTTTTCAAAATTAGATCTTGGTTACTTACAGAGATTCGAAAATCATTAATTGGACACAGAATTTAATAATTTTGTAATGAGTGATCTGTAATTTCAAGATCAATTTTTTTCTGCATACAACAACAATTAGACAAATTTTTCGATATGATTGGATAGGTAAATGAAACACCTTTCCAATGACATATCACATGACCCACATTTCCATTTAAAAAAATCATCGATGACGTCATCACGCTCACACCAATGACGTCATGCGTATCAAAAATATTTGACAGAATGCGCGTTCGATAATAAAAGTCGACGGGTATCAGGATTTTTTTGTAGGGTCGCCTTATTACAAAATAATGAATTTATTCCATTCATTTGCACCATACTGTATGTAATGTTGTCATTACTAACGTCATTGAAGGTTGGGGAATGTCACATTACACACCTCTACTTCCCGCCCCTCACTACTTCCCGCCCTCACTTCCCGCCCTCACTCATGTAATAATTCAGGTATGTTCAGAACGAAACATAGATTTATCAATTTTGATCGAAAAATGATGGTTGTAAATAAAAAAACAAAAATAGCTGAGAATGTGAGTGTGATAGAAGATATGTAGGTAATAACTGTAATTATGTTCAAGATTTGTCTTTCGGCAAGAAGGGTTGAACTCAATGATGAAGATGTTAAATAAAAAAGTCCTATACTTTTTACACAATTCATAGATATAAGTATCAATTTAAAGTTTTCAATATCGCATACCCTCATATCAGCAATAACATCAATACGATAAGTATAAATTCCGATGAATAAAAATATTTCGAATTCATCGCCGGTGCGCATATCAAAAGGTATCTGTAATTTTGTGTGATTATTCTTCGGACAAAAAATAACTTACTGCATGGTGATACCCGTAAAAAAATAGTGAACAACTAACTTTTTATTTGAAGGTATTTGAGTTGGACCAATTGAAATTTAACTACGACGCATTTTTCCTTTGTTTCTGAATTACAGAAATTATTGTCATGGAAGTAAAATTCAGCCGCCCCTTGGAAATTCTTCAGGTGTCGCCCATGAGTCAGCACCCCAATTCTTTTAGTTTCATAACAAAACAGCCCATTGGTTATGATGTCAATGTCAGTGTCAGTACATACAAATACATTATCGGGTACCGCATACGGTTTGGCGTGGTAGAGCTAAAGACAGTGAATGTTGCTTCCTTCCGTCTTTACATTCAATGGACAGGCCAGCGCCTGTGGAGTGTGCAGCATAATAGTGTATTCGGCTCGATCCATCTGGCAACGTCGCTCGAATGTGACCCACACCGAACGTAACACACCGCAGTTGCGTCTTTTTCTATTGCGAGCCATGGCCTATTTTGATCCTTTTATTGTTGCGTCTTTGTCGCTCGCCGGCTCTGAATTTTCCTACTTTAAACTTGATTTGGTCTGGTTTCGACTAGATCCCCCTCCCCTGCTACCACCGATTGGCCTTCTACTGTTCGCCGATAGCCTAGCCGCCTAGCTGCATGTTGCAGTTGAGTATGATGGTAAGATGCTTTGGATATGGTATAAATAATACGAGGCACAGCCGGTACAGGAAAGGAATACGAAGCCGCAATGCGAGTATTACTCAGCGTTTTAGGTCTTATAATGGTGTAATCGGTTTTATTACCACTATGACATTTCTGCTACTGAACGTCATAATGAAACTGATACTAGATTTATCTTTTATTCGCTAGCGAGTAAGCATACCTCAAGGCCTACTAGGTACCTACTGGACCTTTTAAATTCTGAATTAAGGAAGGAGATTAACATGTTATCATGAATTATGTAGTATTTTGATACTTTTGATTGGACAAGTTATTGAACAGTTATGAATATTGGAAGCATGAAAAATCGTAATGACTCTGCAGTAAAGTAGGGTTGAGTACCTTTAGTAGGGCCAAGGAAAGAACGGACAGACAGCCTCATAAATTTCCAGCATGAATAGAATGGTACTGAGATAACTATTGCATTGTAAAGATCTAAACTGCACTGAGGAAAATTGTGCTATTAGAGTTTTTTGTTGAAATATTTCTTGCTACCATTACAAGGAATCCTATTACCATTATACATTTTCGAATAGAAGCAGCACATCGAAGTCCTATGATAGCAATAATGCTGCAAGCTGCACTGCAAATGAATTTTCTGCCACAGAAAGGTATACTGCTGCCGCTATCAGGCAGCCACTCTGCGATAGAATGATTTTTTTATAATTGTGTAGCTGAATTATTACTAGTGCCTGTGGCTGTGAGGATCATCGCATAGAACTGCACTCACTACCAATGATAGAACTGTCAGCCTGCTACGAAAATGATATTTGACGAACTTACTTGGGGTTATTCAGCGCCTACTTTTCGTCAATCGATATTTTGCTGATTTTTTCCCCTCTATATGAGCATTTGTCAAACATCCTGCGTCCCAAAGACATGTTCAATCATTCCCAGTTGACTGTTAATGCAAACCCAAGTACAGTACGACATATCGAAGACTGGAACCTTTGGCACGATAATACACTACACTGTTTTACCACTAACCAAACCGATTTTTTAAACACCTCGACACGTGTTCCGCTAACTATGTTAACATCTTCAGAAGAAGATTAAAACTAAATAATCATTCACCTACCTATAGGTTTTTCTCATTGGAATGCTTCCACCGCTCAATGCGCGTTGAGAGGAGCAAACTCAGGAGCAAAGGGCTATAAAGTGAGCCCAATTTCCAGTTGTTTCACTTTGAGATCGTCGAAATAGGTCACATGTTATATTCCTTTTCAATTATTATGCTATCCACAACAATTTGGAACGCAGCTACATTTTGGAGACGATATACTTTCATGTTCCCAGGCTCACAGCCCGAAGAAATAATACTCTCTACCTTTCGCCTTGTCACACTGATGTTAAATTTCATGCACTTGTTTACAGTACCTATGTATTCTTTATATAATGCGATGAATGAAACCATTGACATTTTTTGCTGCAGTTTGGCGTCCATAAAACACTGGACTGTTCTATATTTTTTCAATGGATAATGTTTATGTATCAGGAAAATGATTTTAGTATGTTAGTACTTATATACAACTCAACTGTCGGTTATTCTGAGCAAATTCAACAACCTCAAATCTGTGCGCCAGGGAGATTCCAACATGTCAACATGTGTATTGTGTATTAGTTAGATATAGGTACCCACGCGGGACTGATGAGACTACCTCTAGTGAAAAAACGAACTACAGTGAGCGGCGACCTACCCAGCTCTACGCTCCTGCGCCATTTCCAAAGACAGACGGAGTCATATTCAACCCGCCAAACGCAAGAACGAGACGATAGATAATAGGGATGCACTGCTTCGGACGCGGACGATATCTAGTCGTCTCTGACCGACGTGAAGCTCGAGGAGGGGGGAAAAGGGAAATGCAAGTGCATGCAAGTGCCGTGTGGCGTCGCCGCGGCACTTGTTGAACCTCGCAATATGACGTTCATACAGTTGTGATTCCGACCATCATCCATACAACACATTACCGCAAAATTTCAAACACCGAACGCAACGCGCCAATTACAAACATGTAACTGACAAAGTAAGCCGGTTTAATTAACACCCTTTGACATTACCGTTTGAAAATCGGATTCGCACAGTTCAAACTCTTTTTCCTTTTGCAGATTCAGCTAGCTATGGCCAGAAAACATCGGGATTTTTGCCTGCCGAGATGAAGACCTACCCCAGTGGACGGACTTTCACGTTTTTTCGTCAAGTTTACCCAGTGCCTCCTTCGAACTTTGTTAATTTGTGCTGTGTGACAGTTTTAAAACTCATCTAGTGACTTGGATTTATAAATTATTCGTTCTGTGCGTGTGCAAATTATTCCATCTAAAATTTTGGTGTAATGAATTGTTTGAAATGGGTAATAAGAGTATTATCGGAATCAGTGTGACAAACTTGCCGCCTCGAAAAAATGGCGGACTGTTCTTACGCGCGTTGTGTTCAACAGAGAAGAAACATTAGAAGGGAACTACAAAGATGGACAAAAAACATGGTACATATCGTCGGTGAGTAAGCAATTTTTTTCTTCGTCTCCCGAATTTTATCGGACGCGATCAATATCGTAGCGCACGGATAATGCCAGACGAATATCCCAAGGGAATTTCTTGCGGGGAGCGCTGGGGTAGTCTAACCTGTTGCCTGTGTGCACTTGAACAGTTCGGTTTCCTTGAACTCTCAAAACAATTCAGTATAACTTCACACCTACTTATCATCAGCAAGATTGATATTTCGTGTGAATATTGTGCGTGATAAGCGATTTCCTTCACTTTGCTCTACGCTGCTTAGGGTGGAATTTAATGATTTTTAAGATGCACTTTTTTTATGCGTCGTGCCGCATTTTTCCGTAACGGCGCCGAATTATCGCTTTTCTTTTATTTTTCGTCGAAATTTCGCCATTTCCTTCATTAAAATAAACCGGATTGAGAAAGTATTGATCCAACACTGATGGGTGTTTCAGAGGGCCAGTATTTTTTATTGGAAATCGAATTGTATTTCAATCGGAAATGAATGCATTCCGTCGTTTATTATTCCAAGCGAGATTCCAAGGTTGGAATATTTTTGAATGTTTATCGCATATATATTTGAAATTATTTTATTCAAACCTTGCATTTATTTCATGTGGTTAGGTACGCACAATGTTAAATGAAAATGATAGCACTTTTCAAGCGATCCAAACGACGAAAAAGGAGGTGAGTTGGTATAGAATGCTTGACATCTCGCTCGACATCTATTAAAATATCGAACACCTGTAGGTATGGTATACCGTATATATGTTTGGATGCTTTCTGATGTTCTTACCTAAACTAGTACCTATAGCTAACATGCTAGCTATACCTATATCCACTTAACTATATACTAAGTAGGATTTGCCAGGATATTTTCTAATATTATTTGGTAGAGCCGAGGGTAGAGCGGATACACCCAAGACCGCCCTATAGGAACTTAATTTTTCGATTCGTTAACCTCTAAACATCGCCGCTATTCAGCTATTGGGAAAATATCTGATCACGTCTTGATTTCTCTGTGATTTACCTATTGTACCTATATCGACATATATCCTCTCTGGTCTCCCGTTCGAAATCAATTGGCGACCAAAAAAAAACTAGGGTGGAACAACTCTTAAAATTGGTGTAAACCTTGGAATTTTGAGTATTTAAATACAATTTTCAATCATAGATCTAAATACACACTTATATGAGTGAGTAAGCTTCATTATGCTTTTGAGTACTTCAATTACTATAGTACGAGCTATAGTGTTTAGTTTTCAAAATATGCTTTAAATACCGAGTTGAATACTTTAATGACAATTAAATATGGTGTACACATTTTGGGCAGTTGTTTCCCCCTCGGAAAAAACTAGGAAAGGACTTTGTTTATATCATATACTTTCATTGGTATAGGTATATAAGCATCTACCTATCTAAAGCTTATTTGGGTACTTAAGAATACAAGGCTCGCTATGTCGTACATATCAATCTTCTTCAATATATTATCATTAATAGTTGCGTTTGATCATCTGCCATGCATCAAAATAATTATACCGGGCGCCAAAATGATGTATGCGGATTCTATCATCGTTCTTCTCGATCGTTTAGCAATACAACTTACTGTCATAGAAATTGATGGTGGTTGGTGACGAGTAAACAATCCAAAATACCAAATGAGACGTACAGAAAGGTTGCCTATATAGGAATCAGTAGTATAATAAACTATCGAGTAAGCTACTTATATCAAGTAGGGCACAACCCTCCTGGGTGAGAGTAGGTGAGACAATCTCGGTAATCTCGTATACATTATTAATCTCGGCATTAATTCATTCAGAGTACGAATCGAGTCGTGCGACTAAATACCTATACCAATATAGAGTTGGTTGTGAATTTCATACTACAGAAGCTATAGCAAAGAACTCACGAATTTCAACATGAGGCTTATCCTCGGGCGTATCACACATTTTCCTACTCATTGTAGGCGTATTTATTTTGATTTGTTAACCAATTTTGTATAAAACCTGATCCGAGCCGATAAGTACTGAGCCTGATCCTAATACTCAAAATACCTCAAAGTACCTACCTATATCACTTATATACTTGAACATCGCGACTTAGACAGATATAAAAACTACTATAAGCTGTAGCCTAGGGTATAGCTAATAGCGAGGCTAATAGGTATAAGATGAGGTTTTTTGGTGGAATCCATGAACGGGAGGTATTTGGCGAGATTAGAAACAATCCGAACTTAAAGCTATATGGCACACAATGGAATTATTCATAATTAATAAATGGTTGTCATCCGTGATTTTCTGTTCGTATCAGAAGTACAACTTTTATAATCACAGAAAACCACGAATTTCTCAATAATTTTTGGTCTCGTAATTGGCGTGTCCAAATAGTTATGATTCGTTCTGGAATTGTAAGCAGGTAGATGGTATCTATTTTCCGAGCTATTTTCCAATGATGTTTTTCGTTTCGGAAAATGTGTATATTTATATAAATGATATAATCTTCAGCTGAATATTTAGTCATCTAACCTAACCAGCTTTCCTGCGGACCGTGATGAATTCAACACACCCACCACATACCCAAACGTCGGTGTCATTATTTGGTAAATTTAGCCATCGAGGTTTGCCTTGATATTAACCTTCACCTTTTTCCTCGCGTTTTTCATTCACATCTTTTCGACATCTTTTGTTGTTTAATGGCCTACCAACCAGACGGGTTTATGAAGATACCTATTTGCGTTTCGGGTAATACCTCGGGTGATATACTCTCGGTTTTCGTTCTGTGTTTCATAGAATCCATATCAAATAGATCATATCTACCATGAAATCATTTTTCAATTTTTGCTGAAGAAATGCCTTATATAATACTAACAGACCTATTGCATTTCCAGTCCTTCATTGTTGGCCGATTTTGGCTGTGTAAAAGTGCAATGATATTACCTCGGATATAACTGAATACTTGTAGATATCATTTCCGTCATAATGACCTTGACCATGTTGAAAAGAAAAGTCGAGAAAAATAGAAAAATCGAGAGAAAAATTGACTTATCATCGATCGTTGTGTTGTGTTATCCCGTGTCCATATATTATTGTTTCCTCATCATTGTAGAAAAAATACATATACATAAATATCTTAGAACCTATTTCTCTCGACATGTCTTGTCATAATTACTTTTCACCATATACACTTCCCGTTTTATTCCTTGCCGATAGGTTCAATGGTCAAATCGATAAAGGGAAACATTGCAGCTCATTTTCGAAAGTGTTTTTCATGGTTATCAGACACAGAGAGTTCAAATCTATATAGGTTCAAGGCATTTGTGGTCTGATGACCGTGTTATAAAGAAGATGTTATAAGTACATAATATTTAAGTATACATCACGAAAAAACATTAGGGATAAGATAAAGTGAAACCGCGAGCGTGCACAAAACACTGCTAAAAAATTGGGGGAAAGGATTTTGAAAACATCTATATATAGGAACAAACTGAGATTCGCGCTATACGAATAACTATATATATAGTGTCCGAGCTAGGGCCCTGTCAATCCATACAGAATTCGCGCATGAATCTGTTATTGTTCGACCTCGAATTCTATACGATGAAAGTGTCTAATTTTATATAATGGAAGAATCGATGGTAGATTATTTCATTTATTAAAAATATCTACCTATGTGCTTCTATTATTTTCCGAGTTATTTTCCTTCATAATGAGAGTATACTGAGTGTTTGGTATGTTGGACGCAGTTATAAATATAAACCAATGTTCATTTTCAATAAATCACGATTTCACTCGGACGATATGACACCGAGAGCTCTAGGTTGGAGATGTTGGAGTTCACCGATGTTCAGAAACGAGTTGAAAAAGGAATGTATACAGCGCATCTCATTTTGGTTGAGACTGTTGCAGGTTTCACATTCAACTCAAAGGGTTAAATCCGAGGGGTAATCCACTCTCCCAAAAACGTAGACGGATTGGACAGATTGGACGTAGGATTGGACCGATATTATCGGTTATTATCAAATATTGAAAATATGAGATTGGACATTGGCATTGCGAGAAGGATACTGGGCTAAAAATTGACCTTGGATTGAACAGATTTCATAGGGATTGGACACCAAGTGCGGCAATTGGCCTACCAAGTTCGATGATTATATCAATCAGCAAACAATCGTTAAATACGTTTCACCACACAAATTGAATTTTTGGTTTGATCAAGAAAATTTGTTATCAACCAGTTTTAAGTCTACTTAAATTGGCTATTTTTCATGTTCTGGTACCACCTCGGGTATACCACCTCGGGTACCACTGAATTGTATCTGAAAACAATTCCTCTTTATTGTCAAATAGAATAAAGAATACAGATTTTGAGTATATATAAGAAGTATATCCCAAGGTTTATTCATCACATTGAATTTTCGACATGTAAAGTTTGTAAAAAAATAGAATGAACGTGTTCTTAGTGTGTCTATTTCTTCAACACGAAAATGGAAAACTCTTTTCCTCTTTATGTAAGTTGGAGAAGTCCAATCCAACCTGAAAACCATTTCTACATTATATTTTTTACCATAAAATTGTTCATCTTTACCAAAATAAATTCACCTGAGTGTTTAAATTTATTAAAAGTGCTCGAATATTGCCGTTCTCCTAGCTCAATTGGATTGTATGTACCTGAAATATACATACACCAAATTTCATGCTGTTTTCTGGATGGCACCGTACATTCAGCTAAGGAGCAGGACATAGCAACCGAAAAACCTGGAGGTCTATACCAAAATATAATGTATGCACTGTACCCAAGGGCTGTTCACGAGCAAGAATATACGACGTGTTGATCGAGGTGTTGATGCGCCTTGAGTATATACCATAGAACCACACATGTATTTTTTGAATGAATCATTAATTATTTCTGATGCTTCTCAAAATTCAGACGCGGCATTTCATGAATTTCTGATAGGTAGATAAAGTGCTTGTTTGGAACGAGGGCCACTTTTTTAGTTCGACCGA